GGGGGGAATTTCCCTGGAGCGGTGTTTCCTGGAGGGGGGGCAAGGTGTTTTCTCTCTGTGCTCTGTGGGGTCACGGTGTCTTTTTTTTTCTTCAAGCAGTTTTGACACCAGGTCTGTTCTGCACGCTCGGTACTAAAGTGGTGCCTCTTTCCTTCCATCAGAAACGTGCGAGAACGTGGACTGTGGACCCGGGAAGAAATGTAAAATGAACAAGAAGAACAAACCTCGGTGTGTTTGTGCTCCGGATTGCTCTAATATCACTTGGAAGGGCCCTGTGTGTGGCTTAGATGGGAAAACCTACAGGAACGAGTGTGCCCTTCTCAAAGCCAGATGTAAAGAACAGCCCGAACTTGAAGTCCAGTATCAGGGCAAATGCAAAAGTAGGTTTGCAAATCTAATCCGATCTCCCTCAAATGCCAAAGGGTGTGTGTCTGAGTGTAGGGAGGAGGAGCTGTTGGACGTACTTCCCCACAGGAACCAGAGTGATGTTCCATATGCTGGGAGACAGTAACTAACCACGCTCAACAGACAAGGACGTAGCTGGATTGAGAGTTCCCCACAGTCTAGCAGCACTTGTGTCCCCCCAGCTACCCTGAGATGGGAAGGTTTCCTTCAGCGGCCCTTAAATAAGGAGAGCTGCTGAAGGCTTTTACCTGATCATTTGTTTCATTGTGTCCCCATTCACTCCGTGCTGGGGCTCTGGGATCTCTTATTAATCACTGTGCGTTTCCATCTTTATTTCAGAGACCTGTAGGGATGTTTTGTGCCCAGGCAGCTCCACATGTGTGGTTGACCAAACTAATAACGCCTACTGTGTGACATGTAATCGAATTTGCCCAGAGCCTACCTCCCCTGAACAGTATCTCTGCGGGAATGATGGCATAACTTACGCCAGTGCCTGCCACCTGAGGAAAGCTACCTGCCTACTGGGGAGATCCATTGGATTAGCCTACGAAGGAAAATGCATCAGTAGGTATCTTGGTTGGAGGGGTGAGGGTGGGGGGAGCTTCCTGGCTCAGCTGTTTCAGAATATCGTGTGTGCAATTGCATGGATGTAGTTAGTGCTGGCGAGGAGGAGAGACTTCCAGCAGCCTGGGTTAGTGCTTCCCTCCAGGAAAAGGAGAGCCAGGGTGAGCTTTGCCGCAGAAAAGATTGCAAAAGGGATGATGGAGCAGAGGGCCTGATCCTGCTTCTTTTGCTATTGCTGTGGGTGTTGACAATAGTATCCAAGGGCGAAGTACCCACCATTAAACAGATGATGACATGGTTACAGCGTAACAAGGTCTCGATATTCAGTGGATTTGGATTCCTGGAAACAATTGTCTTCAAGTGGTCTTGGCAAAGCTTGTGTTAACTTAATTGGAAACATCTGATCACTTTTTCCTCTTTAGAAATATTGCAGAGTTTGGAGACAGTTGGTGGGTGAAGATAGGAAAATAATCTCTGTTCATCCTGACATTTTGTATTGATTTCCAGAAAGGAGTGATAGTGAAGCATGTTATGAGGAAGCACCTTCAGGGCAGCCTCTGCTCCCCAAAACGGCTGGGGGAATTCGGGGGAGTCTCAGGCTACTTTTAGTTGGCATAGGTTGAGGTGAATTCCCTTTCCAATCTTGTAGACATCTACTCTGTGTGGGTTAGTTTAAAAATAATTGATTTAGAAATGCTGAATGTGTTGGCAAATTCTGCACCTACTGCTAATTTGGGGAGCCGAATTTCCACTGACATCAAACAGAGCAGGAAGGTCATGTACAATAGGCAAATGTAATTCTGTATTCCCAGGGCCAAGCTCTGCTGGCACAAGCTCTCCTTCCTCCCCCACATATAGACAGGCAATGGTGTCCAAGGGACTACTTGCTGGAGCAAAATCAGCAAGTATCATCACATCTACTGCATCTGAGCTTTGTCTATTCACAGTTCACAGGGGAAAGGGAGTTTGGGGTTGTTTGCTGTTGCTTTTCTTTTTTCTTTGTCTTTTCACTTACCTCTAGTATCCTGTGTGTATTTTTAGAAGCCAAATCCTGTGAAGACATTCAGTGCAGTGCTGGGAAGAAATGCTTATGGGATTTTAAGGTTGGCAGAGGTCGGTGCGCCCTCTGCGATGAGATATGCCCTGAAAGCAAGTCAGATGAGGCAGTCTGTGCCAGCGATAACACAACTTACCCAAGCGAGTGTGCCATGAAAGAGGCAGCCTGCTCCATGGGTGTGCTTCTAGAAGTAAAGCACTCTGGATCTTGCAACTGTAAGTGAGATTTTTAACTCTGCAGACGCTTAAAGCTTCTGAAGGCAGTCCCTAGGTAATGAAGACTTACATGAGAAAGCTTGATTTAGAGATTCGAGATACGGTACAGGTGCCATATAAGTATGTATCACGCACACACTTTGGTTACTGGTAAAATGCAATAGATCTCCAACAGCCAGTTGGCCTTCAAATTGGGGTTTTGGGCTATTCTGAGGACAAGTCATTTTGTCAGAAAGGGGTTGCCTTAGGAGTGTAATTCTAGCAATTTTTTCCTACTTTGTCTGCTCTCGTGTGCTTCGCTGATTGCTTTATTAACACCCGGATAAACTCAAACTTGGTCCGAAAGAACAAGCTTAATGGCAGCACATGGGCACCTGGTTTAGCACAGTTGCCTCTACTAACTCTGAATGAAGGACACAAAGCAGTTAAACCTAGAACACAAGAGCGCTTTTTATTTGATTTCAGGAATCTGCCAATAAAACCTGAGCCATTGATTCTTCAGAACTTTCTGCAGTTATGACTTCATAGATTATGTATAAAAAACGTTATTGCATAACAGCAGATGCCAAAGAGCATCTCACTACAAGTCGCATAAAATGCAACGCTGTATTGTGGCTGTTCAGAGGGCTTTGAAAACATGCACTGAGCTGCTTCTGCGCTGTTGTTGTCCTTATTTAAACAACAGCTCCCCTGTATTCCCCCATCTAGCCATTAATGAAGACCCAGAGGATGAAGAGGAAGATGAAGACCAGGACTACAGCTTTCCTATATCTTCCATTCTAGAGTGGTAAAACCTCCATCACTATTGGAACAGCCATTGGGCACGAAATCAATGTCCATACTGTAAATAAGTGTATGCTTATTTATTTTGGGGAGGATAAAAGTATACATATAGTTGAGTCTCGTAGACATTTATTTATACTGTGTCATGTTTTATAATTTATACATAAATTGTCTGGTTGACTGTACACCTTTTTTGAAGAAATTTATTCGTTACGGGAAGAGCAGTGTTATTTATTGTGAGGTCTCTTGCTTGTAAAGTAAAGCTTTTCTTTTTTCTTGTAAACTATAAAAGTCCATTCCTTAGAGCTTACCCACATGATCTCATCTCTTTGTTTCACCGATGTTAACTCTTTTCCACTTTAACAAACTTGCATGTCGGTTTCTGTTATGTTTATTTATTGGATTTTCTTCTTGCCAGTTCTGTACATAAAAGATCCCTCGGGTTTTTGTTTACAAGGAATCTTGACTGACCAAAAGGCGTTGTAACTGACTTAAGTATACTTCCAGAGTGCAGTGGGGCGATCTTTAAGGAAACTTCTTCCACTTCACTTTTCTCTACTTCTAATCACATCATGTACTGAAATGATCTCAATGTGCTGAGGATATATACTGTACTATACGAATTCCGGACCCAAAGAAATCGGATTATGAAGGTTGTTAATAGCTACAGGGCTAACTGTAATAAGAATAAAGGTTTTATTTTATTTGTTTTATTTTATTTTTATTGGTTTTTTTTTTTTTTTTTTTTTTTTTTTTTTTTTTTTTTTTTTGTAACATGCGTAAGTGTTTTATCAGGTGTTTCCTTTAAGGTGGTCTTGCAGTACCACTTTCAAAGTTTTCCCAATCAGTGTGTCACTAAAAGTTATATCAAAGCTTTATCAGTTCAAGTTTCTTGCTTTTCATAATACTTTTTTTCTGATGCAATTTTATATTTTCAAACATGGCGAGTTAAATATAAATTCATTTAAATATATAGTTTTGTACTTTTCTACCATGTAAATGTGCAATGTATATAAAAGTTATAATGTGTATTTGTAAATAAATGATGAGTGAAAAAATAAAAAATGGAATTTTCCCTAGAGGCAGTCCTCAGTTTTCCGTTCTAACGGGCTCTGTCCCTGTGGTGCAGAGGGGACATACTGGTGGTTAGGGGAAAGGACGCTTGTGCATGATGTAGCAGCAAAACACACTGGTTAAGGCCAAAGCTTTCAGCTGACATTGATTCAAGAAACCCTTTTTTCAGACAGGAGCAATGTCTCCAGTTCATTGGTATTAATTAATTTTAAAGCCAAGTACAGTGATGAAGGAGAAGAGATTCAGCATTTTTGTTTTCCTCTCCATCCTCTAAATAAAAAGTCTGTCATTTCTTGGACGTTTTTATCTTCCATATTTCTAGGAGGTTTTGAATATGCATTTGAATTTTTGCTAAGCTTCAGATCCATGTTACTGGGGTTGCAGTTGTATCACCATTTTAGATGACCAATAGAAAAAGCAACAGATGGCCTACTTGCCCAAATTCAAGATGTGTAACAATTAGCACAAAAGACAAAAAAACCTCTCAACAACCAGCACATTATCACTTGGAAATTATTTTATCCCAAAAGGAAGGTTAATTCCGAAGTTCTTTTTGGTGAACCAATATTCAGACTGGACACACTCTTAAGAGTGGATACTAATACAGTGAACTGAGGAGAGGAAACAGCCATAAGCACAGCAGGGACCAAAATCCTGTTTTATGCTACCTGGGTTATGCTGTTCTCCCAGATAAGGCCCCGCTTATCAAAATTTCTCTATCGTACTGCAAAAAACTTAAAAATATACTTAAGCACCTTATTCAACAGTGTTTTAAGTACTTTGCTGAACTGAGGTCTGAGAGCAGAAGTTGGTTTACCCATTTTGTTTAAAAACAAATCATATTTGAAGGCCGTTCCTGCTATAGTCTTCTGTATATTTTTTACTATAAACTCTAATTTGTTATGGATTGTTTAGCATTATCCAAAGCAAATATAATTTATTCATCTATGAATACATAAAAACTACAGATGCCCATTTATAATATTGTATTGAAAATAATAGCAAAAAAACTCTGCCCTTCATCCTCCTGTTGCTTCATTTAGACAAGTAGTCTCTTTGGAAGGACATACACGATGAGAGGAGCAAAGGGAGCAGGATTTTGGTCTCCTGAGGGAACAGAACCCAGAATAAAAGAAAACAGGAGTGGGGAGAACAGAAGGATGGAAAAAGAACCTATCAGAAAATCTCTCAAGGAACTAATAAACACATGACAATGACATAGAGACAAAATGTTTAATAGATGTGGAGAGTATCAGAGGAGATTTTTCTCAAATTCAGATAGGTGCCAGCTACTTCATTTCCAACAAAACCACAACATTAAAAGACTGGTTTTAATTGTAAATACATTTATATGTCTTACAGAGAGACTGTAGCAGAGCAGGATTTCTGGGCTCTAATTTTATGTCCTGCTGCTGATCACAAAATAACTTTGACAAAGTCACCGACAGCCAAATTCAAAAAAGCAACAAAAATGCCAGGAAGCTATATTTACGCATATACATGTACATGAAACGGCCACAGAAATCTACATCAGGTTTTTGCTGATAAAATTATCTAAAAGTTCTGCTACTTTTTTCGCATTGCTACTGCTATTTCTATACAGCTGAAAGTCTTGAAACCTACCTTGCACCAAAGCCTGCCTGTGACATACAGGTGAGGCATCTCCTGAGAGGTTTCATGAGGTAAGCATCTTCTGAGCATGCCTAACATACACCAACCTCATGAACCTCATGTCATGAAGCACAACAGCCCCAGAAACTTTCTCCCAGAAACATGTCCAGAGGTTGTGGCAGGACGACTGCCAACATTTTACATAATACCATACTTGTAGATAAGGCACTTGTTCAAGAAGTGGGAGGTGCAGGTTCACTGCCAGTCTCTTCCTGAGGAGATCTTTCCCACATCTCCCAAGAGTGCATCCACCACCAACTCAAGGTGAAGCTCAGGCTGGAGAACTGTCTGTCATGCCTGCTGAAGCCATACTTCTGTACTGGAGAGGAAGCAAGATTCACTGACAGAGGATAATTTGCAACCCTAATAGGTGCTCCTTTTGAAGAGGAAGTCCTGGGTTCTTGCCCCAGGGGCTGCCTACACATTTTGCATTTGTAATTGCATAACATACATAAATAGTGCTTGAAGCAGGGGCCAGAATCCAGGTTGCCTCCCCTCCTCCTTCCCCCAGTAGGTAAGTGCCTCCATCCTTGAGCTATGAAATCATGTTTAACTCTCTGCTTAAATCAAGATTACAAATCTCACATCTTTTTCTACACTGAGTCATAGTTACAACAGGAGAGGCTTTACTTTTTTCATCCTCTCTTCTAGGCTTGTACCTGAGGAACTTCCTCGGAAGTGGAAATGTGAACCTAATTCCATCAGTCTAAGGAAGGTGCTGAACTGATTTTTTTCTACCTCTTGTCCTTTTTTTTGTGTTTTGGTTTTGTTTTGCTTCCTCTCTTAATACACAGGCTATCCTGGATGTTGTTTAAATGAAGAAACAGAGACATCTGGATGTCTAAGTACAAGAAGGTGGTTTCCAGCTCTAAAACCATCTTGCACAAGCTCCTAAAAACAGAAGAGAAATAAATTTTCAGAAATATATTTCTCTTCAGTGTTTTCTATCGTCTGGCATACATATTCCCCTTGCTGTAAATCTCATTTCTGAAACTCCTAGTTCAGCATGGAGTGTACTTTGGTACTGAATCTCAGGCCTGTGAACTCCATTCACAAATGCAGGCACAGTAACACAGAGTGGAGCGCATTATGTTTGAAAACAGAAACTCGTATTCTGGCACTTAAGTAAAATCAGCTTAATTCCAAGAGACCCAGCTTGAGGCATTTGAATGACAATAATATTGCCTTTAAAGCCCTGGTTTCCAAATTTATTCACCTGCGCAATACATACAAGTGAGTATACACAATTTTGATCACACTCGAATTCCTGATAGCAGTGTTCATATGACAGACTTAAGAAGAGTATCATGGACCTCTTTTGCACCTTTTACCTCTTTGCTTGCTTTCTGCCTGCTAATACACCTCAAGTAAAACTACATTCCAAACCTCTCAGCAAATTTCAAACAGCTGCCATTTCTTTTTTTTATGACATAAAAATGTTTCCTTCTTTCCCTCCAAATGGGAATCAGGTGAAATTAAATTTCAGTATGCAGTGCTGTTCTCTAGGCAGTGACATTTTACTATACAATGAATCACCAGCACAGAAACATCTGTATCTTATCCCTTTGAAGAACTAGGATTCCATGCTTTCTGGTGAAGCATAACATTTGTACATAGACCAAGGGGTTCACAAGGTATCAGATTTTAAATTACTAACTCCCTGAAGACAAGGCAATTACATTTTTTGTTTGATATTTCTGCAATTCCAACGCTTGCCTGACCCATTATGGCAGCATGAATTTTGCAAGTAGTATATGAAAAATCGTACACACAAGTTAACTCTTTAAAATATTTTTTTTTTCCTGATAGACATAAATACATAATGGACCTTAGTGGCTGGATTTTGTTGACACTCATTTGGGATCATCTGTATAATTCACATTCATTCATTACTCCTAAACAATGCGGCCAAAGAAATTATCACACAGTGGAGAAATATGACATGAAAACAAGGTGCGAGCCATAATGTTCAGCTCAGAGGCTGATTTGGAGTTAAAACCACATGTATGCCTCACATTCCTGTAATTTACAGGTACATTCTTTTGATCTCTTAATCTTTAAATGGATTTGTTCAACTTCACCATGAGATTGAAGAGGCCTAATGTGTCAGAAAACTGAGAAGGAACTCTGGACTTTGATAACAGCTAATCAGACCTACCAGATGCTACAGGATAATGAGTTTACCAAGGTGGTCCAGTGTAGATCTGAATGTGTAAAGGCCCCTGAATTTCCACCAGTGCCACTCAGTAACTGCATCTGAACCTCCCAGTGCTTCAGTAAGGCCTACAGATACTCAGAGCTCCCCAAAATGAAACCACAGCACTCACATTCAATAACTAAATTTTAGTCACCTGGTTTTAAGGATTTTTGAAATATTTAAAAATGAATCTTGGAACTATTTTTCATAGCATGTTAGAGGTTCACAGCAAAAGCAGCATTTTTTAAAAAATCATTCTTACCCTGCCTAGCATGGTTGTATGCAAAAATACATTTTTCCATAAGAAGAACAGTTTTAATATATTTATTTCCCAAGACCCCTTAGCAATTTGGAATTCTCTTATTCAGATAACAGTGTTCCTATCAACCTTCTGCTGATCTTCATGTTATGTACTCTTCTTTTTAAGTTTCAATCACTTCGTATTTTAAAAGGCGTCTGGAGCTACAAGGATGATGGTGGGTGGACATTGTTAGAAATACTGAGAAGATACTAGAACATGCTACCATTTGATTTCTGAATTAGAAGCATTGCTAAAAGTGGTCACAGGG